TTGATCAGCTGATTGACTCTCCATTGATTGTCACGCTTCACCAACATAGTCGCTGCTTAACAACGTTATTATTTTGCACAGTCCGCTTTCCTTCGAGGCATGCAAGGTGCATGGCAGTCGTAGTATAAACACAATTAACTACTCAAGTCATTAAAAAAGTTGGTGTCAGGACTGAAATGCAATAAGATTTAATCATGGCGATTTTAACCATGGTGCAGCTCATTTAACCATGGCGCACATGGTAAAACATTCAACTTTTTGAAATGGAATTAGGTGGCAAAATTGACAACAGTATTTTTCATTCGAAGTGTCAAGAGAAAAGGGAATGACCTTGACCCAACTTTGCCTCTTATATTAAACGGTCAAACTTAATCTCACTGATATCATCCCTTTGTGTTATTATCTTCTTGATTCTATGAAAATTTCATTAATTTTTAAATACAAGAAATATGAGAAGAATCATACCATTAAGCATTGCACTTACGTTCTAAACCCCCTAAGGATTTTGACCAAAAGGCGTCTGTGTGATGATCCCCGGATCTGAATCCCATTGAATACATTTGGGATTTTCATAAGAAATGTCATCCCCCCTCCCCTTTCCACACAATTTCAACGGTTTGGAGAGATCTATGCAGTAGATGTGACAGCAGATTGGTCAGTCTCCTATTCAGGGGTACATGGTATCCAACAGTAAAGGATGTCTTGCAGAAATTAGAGCGATTGCTAGTCTTACTCCTAGAGATTAATTTGTGTGAATTTTCATTTTGAGGGTACATCATTTCTTGACACTTTGCTAAAAATTCTGACGAGATATATGAAATTTACGCAACATCGAACTGAAATATGCATCATTAATCATGAATTAAGAAATTATTTATCGTATGCATATGTTCTTTCAAATTTTAAATTTGTTAGGTGAACACTTAGGTTTGGTTCAGTGTATAGAAAAAAGTCTTTAATAATTTTCTGAAGAATCACTCGGCCAGAAAAGCGAAAACTTACGTGGAAGCAACCCTTCAGCAGTAGTGTTGATTTTTAACTGTTTAAATCACGACATCAGGGGCACATGTAGCGTTGGGCCTCAAGAAGAATGACTAAGGGGGATCTCTGGTTAAAAAAAAACAGCATGACCATAGTTACTCAGATAAACGATGTGGCCCCTGGACCTCATGATATCTTCTAGACAAATACACTGAAATAGAATTAACTTAAAGAAAGATTCTAATCTATTCAAATCACGACCGAGGGGTAGGGAAGGGCCACAAAAAACATAACAAAGGTGGACATCTGGTAAAAAAAAACCCAGCATGATACTAGTTACTCAGGTAGACGATGTAGCCCCTGGGCCACTTGATATTTGCTAGATAAATACCTTGAAATAGCATTACAATTGATTTTTGGTCACATTTACAGAAAGAAGAGGCAGATTTTGCATCCAGTTCAGAAAATTCTGTGAATTTAAACTATAGTGTAAATGAAAATAAATTTGGGAATTTCGAACAATCCATAAATGCGTGTGAAAGTAAAAGGCCCAATAAATGTAACATCTGTATGAAAACATTTAATCATCAAAACGAGTTACGGAGACACATAAGTTTACATACAGATGATAAACTTCATAACTGTGATGTTTGTGGAAAGGCATTCAGCCAGTCACAGTATTTAAAGAGTCACAGGAGGACACATACAGGTGAAAAATCTTATAAATGTGATGTGTGTGGAAAGATATTCAGCCAGTTGCAGTATTTAACGAGTCACATGAAAACACATACAGGTGAAAAACCTTATAACTGTGATGTTTGTGGAAAGGCATTCAGATGGTCACAGTATTTAAAGAATCACAGGAGAACACATACAGGTGAAAAACCTTATAAATGTGATGTGTGTGGGAAGGCATTCAAACTCTCAGAAACCTTAAAGATGCACATGAGGACACATACAGGTGATAAACCTTATAAATGTGATGTGTGTGGGAAAGCATTCACTCAGTCAAGTTCCTTACATGCACACATAAGGACAAAAACAGGTGATAAATCTTATACTTGTGATGTGTGTGGGAAAGCATTCACTCAGTCAAGTTCCTTACATGCACACATGAGGACAAAAACAGGTGATAAACCTTATACATGTGATGTGTATGGGAAGACATTCAACAGATTAAATGCCTTAAAGGCACACATGAGGACACATACAGGTGATAAACCTTTTGTATGTGATGTGTGTGGGGAAGCATTCTCCCTCTCAGAAAACTTACAGAGGCACATGAGGACACATACAGGTGAAAAACCTTATAAATGTGATGTATGTGGGATGGCTTTCAGCCAATCACAGCACCTACAGAGTCACATGAGGACACATACAGGTGATAAACCTTATATATGTGATGTTTGTGGGAAGGCATTCAACCTCTCACAAAACTTAAAAAGGCACATGAGGACACATACAGGTGAAAAACCTTATAATTGTGGTGTATGTTGGAAGGCTTTCTGCCAGTCACAGCACTTACAGTATCACATGAGGACACATACAGTTGATAAACCTTATAAATGTGATGTGTGTGGGAAGGCATTTTATTGTTCAAAAAACTTTGAAAGACATTGCAGGATACATATTGTTGACAAACCTTAGAAATGTGGTTTGTATAAGAAAACGTTCTGTGAAAAAGCGGATTTAAATAAACACATGAGGACAAATACATATGAGAACTATATAATGTGATGTATGTGAAAAGGAATTCAAATTAGGTAACTTACAGTCATGGCCTCAGGGTCAGTGGTAAACATGTATTGCTAGGGCAGATCTATATTGATTTAATGGTGAAATTACATTATTTATTTGAAAATCTTCTCCGTTACTTTATAATAAACAAACTAACTACATCGTAGCTGTGAACAGGAATGGTTCTTCTTCAAAATTTGTGAATTTCTTGGCTGCTAGGTCAGGTATTTGGTTTAATGGCGGGACTCTATTGATTATGTTGTGAAAAAGCAATTCTTCTTTTAAAATCTTCTTTTCTACTCCTGGGTATTAAAGAAATTAATTTCATACATAGCTATGATGAAAAAAGATGGCCTTTTCTAAAATTGCGAATTTCATGGCCCGTCGGTCTGATATTGTAGTGAAAAGGTGGGGCTCTATTGATATTAAAGAAACTAAGAGTGCCTTTTCAATAATTGTAAATTTTATGGCCCCATGGTCAGGGATTCTAGAATTGGGTCGGGGCTATATCAATTAATTGGTGAGGAGAATGCAATAATTCTTTGAAAATCATGATCTTTCCCCTTGGCTTTGAACTAACATTAATTGTTATGGTGGAAAGAATGCCTCTTTCAGAATTTTGAATTTCATGTTCACAGGGTCAGGCTTTCTGGTGTTATGGCGCATTCATATAAGAGGAAGGTACAGTTTAGGCTTTACTTATTGAGCTCTAAAAAATTGCTGTTCTTAAAAAGTTTTGAAATTGGCTTGAAGTCGAGTAATTGCATATAATAGATCATTAAAGAATATGGCACGAATGAGGACCGCTCTGGAAATATGACGTCATTAATTTGGTACATTTGTAAGTATTTTGGAGAAAAGTCTTAGAATCACCCATTTTTGTGCATATTTTCCTTTAAAACAAAGTGTCTGCTACCGTCGCCCGCTTCAATTTTTGGGTGACTTATGTAAACTGCTTTGAAAAATCACTTATGTCAAAATATTTGTGGGCGACGGTGGCAGTCGCAGAGTATGTTTTCTGAAAGGAAATATCAGTAAAAATTGATGTCTTCTGCAACTTTTCAAGACAATACGGGAAAGTTAATGACGTCACAGTAAGCATTTGGGAGGTCATGTGAGAAAAGCGCTCTATTTATTCTAAGTGCACGGTATTCCTGTGAATCAGAAAAAAAAAATAAATTTTGATTTCTTATTTCACATAGGGTGAATTCACCATGCATCGGATACCCTTGTACTTCAACAAGTTCTAGCGATATCGCTACCGACGGAAAATTATCAAAATGGAGTTTAACATTTAGATTGTGATTAAAATAACAATTTAGGACAAATTATATGCCGTTTATTGAGAAAATATCCCCAAAAATCGAGTTTTTAGAAAAAACTGAAAATTCACCATGGATCGGACATTGTTCACCATGCATCGGACAGACGGTATGGAGACCGGAAAAATATCATACCTTTATCACAGTGCTTTAAAATCATTGATATGGATATATTTTCATCTTTTATCTAAGAAATAACCCTCAACTTTAATTTAATCGACGATATTATTGCACAAATGTAGAACGATTTTCGAGACCTCACTCTGCCTTAGAAATGCTTTAGAATGCTTATAATGCCATAATTCGCGCCTTTTTCTCATGGTTTATCATACTCTGGTTTGTAGAAATAAATTGAGTCAAATTCAAGACGTCATATATCGATAACTTGTATATTAACTGAAAATATAGAGTTTTTATTTTCTTTTTCCGCAAAAAACAGCTGTCAGCTGGGTTCTGTATGAAAATGGTAGTGCTTACCTCTGCATCGAAAAGTGTCCGATGCATGGTTAATTTGTGTCCGATGTACGGTGAAAATAGCATACTAGTAAAAACCAGTTCTAATAAGAATTAAACAAAAATTGAAGTGAAATTTAATTATAATTTATGTAAAATTACCAATCCCTGACAAAATTCACCAAAGTCCGACTCGTTCCGTGGAAGTCGAATTTAAAAGAACGATAACTCTAAAAATTGCAAAATCATAAATTTCGGGTTATTCCCCTTTGATGATGTAAAATATGACGTAACTTCAAGGCCATTTGCGGGGTATTTTTATCACAACATGATAAACACAATCGGTATCATTAAAAAATTTAAATCTTCGTCTTTATGACAGAAACAAATAAATACACAGAACTCTAAAGTTGAAAGAGAGTTTATTGCCTAAAGTTGTCCGAAGCAAGGTATGTGTCCGATGCATGGTGAACTCACCCTATATATTTTAGAAAAATACGGGGCTTAATTAGTATTAAAACTATATACCTGGTATTGTTCTGATATAGTGAAAATGCATTAATTCTTTGAAAATCTTCTTCTCTGCACCTGAGTATTAAGCAGGTGAACTACTTATATGGATATTATGTGCAATGGTCTTTTTTCCAGGATTGTGAATTTCATGGCCTCTAGATCGAGTAATCCTGTGTAGTAGTGGTACAATTAATTACTGTATATCACTTAATTTTTGCAACACTTTATTTTCGCGAGAAAGTCATTGACTCTTTATAAGCGAGACAAAATTTTCACGATTTGTGGTCATTGCTCTATATAATCTTAATTATACGCGAGAATGAAATTTTCGCGAGCATACCGTCTCGCGTAATTACGCGAAAATAAAATTGCGAATAAAAAGTGATTTACAGTATTGCTGAATACTACTGGTTAGTTGAATGCTTTTTTTGGCCCCCTACTTTTTCTGTAGGCAGTAAGTTACAAAACTAAGCATGTTAACTAACTATATGGTCATGATGACCAGCGATGCCTCTTTCATACTTGTGAATGTCATGGGATCTGGTTGAAAACATGAACCGAATTCAATGGTTGGAAAGATGTTAAATGATGCTCAGGTGAATTATAAGATCCATGGACCTCCTGTATTCAAATATATAGAAAAAAAAACTTTGAAAATTTTCTCAAGTACAAGTGGGCCAGAAACACTGAAATTTCTATGGAAGTATCCTTAGGTAGATTTTTAATTGCTCAAATCTTGACCCCAGGAGAGGACGAGGCAACAATAGGGAATCCAAGTCTTACTTTGAAGTCTTACTTTGACTTCTCATTTTTTTTAAAATTATACTCATAATCAATAGAAACGCAACACCCTAATTTTAGGGTGAAATTTATATAGGGATATGCTAGTAACTTTGTTCCAAAAAAGTTAGGACATCTTTTACTTTGCCAAATCAGGTATTTAACGGTTGAATGATTTTCTTTCCTTTACCGGAAGTTGTTTTTAGCCCTTTTAACAGAAATTAAAATTTTGTATCTTTAGAAAATTTAAAAGCAATTTTTTGGGTTTTCAAGGTTTTGTAGCCGTTTATCTTAAGTATTTTACTAAAATCCTAGAAAATGAATTCTTTCTTTTCCGGAT